AGGACTTGAGAGGAGCCAAGGCAGCTCATCCCATACTCCAGTACACAGACTCCACCCTCTGCTCTGAAAATGTCCCCATTTTTCCACCCACCCAGAAACCACCCTCCTTCACCACCTCCTCTCAGTACCAAGTTCACCGAGTTTCAGGTAACCAATCTGAAACATCCAAACCCAATTCCTGGTTAGAGTTTCCAAGGTACAGATCCGAGGAGCACAGGAGAAGTGGATTCGTGGAGTTGGGGTATAGAGAGGCTGCCATTAATCTAGAAGAATTGGTCCAGGGTTACAAGGTTCTTCCCTGCTCAGAAACATGCCCTGTCCTATGGGTATGCACATTCTTTCAGAATGTTATTTTATTTGTAAGAATGCAATCAACATGTGTGATTACAAGGATTCAGATAAATAAAAGTTTACCAACATAATCTATGGACAATCAAATGTTACAAACAATGTCAAATACCTCCATTACATGTGTTTAAATGCATACTGCTGTATCAAAAGATAAAATATTCTAGGTACCAAATGGTGGCAGAATAGTTTGGGCAGTTGGAACCCACATGCATGAAGGTAGGGTTAGAGACCCAGAACTAGAAGCTTAAAGAATATACCCGGCACATGAATGCATGTGCTCGGACTTCTGAGAGGAGGATAAAGAAGATGGTATTGTGGCAGGGCCATTCCACCAGACAGTGTTTTCTCATTTTTTTTCTCTCTCTCGCTGTCTCTCTTTCTCCAACAAATGCACATGCCCAAATACCATTATTAAAAATAAATAAATAAATAGGGGCTGGCAGGTGGCATGGTGGTTAAAGGCGCTGGACTCCCACATGGCTGACCACGGTTCAAGTCTCAGACCTGGTGGCTGGCTTTCTCATTTCCTCTCTCTCTCTTTCTCTCTCTGTCTCTCTCTGATTGACCTGAAAAATAATAATGATAATAATAAATAAAGTTAAATAAAATAATTCTTTAAAATAAATAAATAGATAAATAAATAAATATTTTTTTCTCTCTCTCTCTCTCTCTCTCTCTCTGTCCCTCTCTGGTCAAATTAAAATAAATAAATAAATAAATAACGTTAAATAAAATAATTCTTAAAAAAGCAGAATATTCTATGACATTAGCTATATATCATAAAATATGTTCATCATATAGTTAATGTGCTCATATTTTTTAAATAAAAATAATAAGATACACAATGCATAAATCTCAATTAGGTCAACATCTAAACAGTATTTATTATGGTTTGTTAAGAGCAAATTTTATTTTCATCTTTATATTGCTCAGTAATGTTCATATTTTACATTCATACTTAGAGAAAAGATCCATGTTCTGGTTTCACATCATGTTAAGATACACAAAATATTGTAGTGCAAATAAAAAGACAGAAAAGTGGGCCCTTCCTAGATTTTGATCCTTCTAAATCTTCATAGTCATGTCCTCAACTGAGAATGGGGAGGATCTCAGCCCTCTCTGTAGACAACAATACGTCCCAGGTAAATCCAAAATGAAGTGCTGAGAAGCTGAGCCCAGCTCCAGCAGGGCCCCACCCCACAAACCCACAAGTCCCTGCCCCAGGGTCCACCCCTCTCCCGGAAATTCAGCCCTTATCTCTAATCACAACACTCAGCATTAAGCCCCCTGAGCTTCTGTGTCAGGAGAAGTGGGGGAAATAGACAGGAATTTCCTCAGAGTAAAATCTCACCAAGACTGCAGAGCTCCAAGGTCAGGAGGTGGAAGATGGAAGGAGAAAGGGTTCAGGTTGGCAAGGTGGGGGGTAGGGCAGGAAAGTTTGAATCATTTCAAGCCTGGAAAAGTAGTTCTGGAACTCTCCAGGGAGTAAACAGGAGGTATTTCTGACACAGATAGAAAGAAACCAAGAGTCATCAACAGGAATGCGGGTGGTACCTCTGTCCCCCACGTGCTCCTTCACCCACTGGGCAGCAGCCGCGATGCTCTCTGTCTTGGTGACATCCCGGGTCACTGTCTCCTCCAGCCTGTCTGAGGTCTGGCGCCTCAGCTGCTCGGCCCCCTTCTCTGTCAGACATGCAGCCAGCACCCTCTGCCCTCGCATGTCCAGCTGTCTGGCCAGCAGGTTCCCGAAGCCCGAGTCACAGCCCGTGATGAAGACGAACTTGTCTCTCAGTTGGCCCACCACCTGCCTCTCCCGGTACCAGCGCAGAAGGTAGTACAGGCCGACCAGGGCTGCCAGGTAGAGCCACATGGCTTCACAGAGGACGGACACCAGCAGGTACCTGTCAAAACAGTTCTGGTCTCCTCAGTCAGGGAGAGCCCGGCCTCCAGACTCTGCATGGAGTGTGCACACTCCTTGCTGATAATGGTCTTTCTGAAACATTTTCTACACCGGCCCCACCTCTATGCTCTTTGGACTGTTTTGCAAGTACTGATGTGCTCTTGAAAATGGTGTGTTCTGGGACCAACAGTTGGCATAATGGTTATGTTGCTGGACTCCCATGTAGCCGACCGTGGCTCGAGTCCCAAACCCGGTGGATTAAACTCACACCGGGCGCATATGGGTGCATGTTCAAGATCCTGAGAGGAGAATGAAGAAGGGATTGTAGTGTGGCCATCCCCCCTGGGAGGTGATTTCTCGCTTTCTGTCTCTCTGTCTCTCTCTTTCTGGTGAGCGCGCACACCCTATAGCAAAAAAAAAAAAAAAAAAAAAAAACCTCTCCCCCCCCCTCAAAAAAAGAAAGAAAATGGTATGTTCTGCTCAAACACAATATCAGTGCTCAGAAACTCATCCCTTTCCTGCTCACTTTTGTCTGCCCTCCTGTGTCCACACAAGAGCCCACACAGGTGCTCACACAGATGCACCCACCTACAAGATTAACCGTATCCACAGTGGTTGGGTTCAAGAGTTACAACTGATTCTGCTCTACTTGCATCAGCACTCCTGGACCATGCCCAAGTAACACAGCCAGGGTCTGGGCCATAGAGCCAAAGTCCAAATGTGCAATAGAATAAGTCAAAAGGAAAAACAGGGAAGAGGTGTCCTAAACCCGGCCTAAGCAGAGAGGGCCTGGGCCCTAGTGGCTGGGAAGGTACTCCTTCAGTTTCTGTCAGGATGTGGGTGGGTAGGAGGCAGCTTCCCCCAGGGGACTTAGGTAAGGGCTATGAACTGGACAGAAGCACAACTGTCCACGGAGGGGCTCTCAGGGTGAGATCGTGGATCCCCTTCATAATAGGGAAGGACCTAGAGAGTCAGGTAGGTGGAGGAGTGGGAAAGGACAGTAGACATGGTTTCATGCAATGGGCATCCCCCCCCCCCACTGCCCACACTTGGCACATCACTGACTACCAAGGACGAGAAGAAGAGGAGAGGGACAGAGAGCAGGAGAGGTTTCCTGAAGACACCAGAGCCGCAAATACAACTCTGGACCATTGCAGCTGTCAGCCAGAACAGACAGGAGTACAGATTCCAGCTCTGCCTTAGGTGTGGACCTTATTAACAGGAGCTGAGAGAAGTCTTGGGGAAGTTTGTCCATCCAGGTGAGTCCTCTTCCTGTTCCTTGGTGGCTGCCAGGACCCTCCTGTAAGAGTTCTGAAGGGGATTGGAGTAGGAAAGGGACAGAGACTCTCAAAGAGAAAGGAAGAAGCCCGGATCCTTCCCAGAAGCCTGGGAACATTCAAAACAGAATCCAGGCTGTACATTCTGCTCAGGGGAGGCTGTGGGATAAAGTAGGGGTATCCTCACTTGGAACAAATAAAAAAAAAAATCCTTCACCAAGCCCACAATTTCCTTCAACCATGAATTCCCAAGGGCCATGCACCAAACACCACCTTGCCCTCATTCTTCTGGCCTTATAGCAATATGAACACTTGCTGGGGTGTCAGGAGCTCAGGCCCCTGCAGAGCCAGGAAGATCAGGAAGTCTAAAGACAGCAATCAGACAGAAGACACTTGGGGCACCTCACCTCTATGGAGCTACAGAACAGAAGGAGAATCCTGTAGAGGCACATCCCTCATGGGCACTCACCCTGTTCACCCCAGTCCCTCCACTGAGACGTTCTGTACAAGAAGCTCCAGTAGTGAGAGTCTCACCTACTTCCTGGGAAGGGAAAACTGGGTGGGGCTCCAGGACTTAGTTTCTGAGCTTGTGCATGCTCCTCTGCCCCCTAGTGGCTACCAGCAGTATCTAGGCACTCTCACATGCTGGGATCAGACTGCAGGGGAGCCCAGTCAGCCACATGACCCCTCTCACCAGTTAGGGTGATGCCATCTATTGGTACTCTCTCCAGGGTGGGTCTCTGAGGAGGGGAAGTGTGGGAAAGGAAAGGTAGAGCTGAAAGCCAGGAATTGAAGTTTCATTGTGCAAACCTGTTTCAGTCATACTGGCCCATCTTAAGTCTGGGGTGGGATCCAAAAGTGTAGAGACACCTGTAGGTGCAGAACATCTGAGACAAGAGAGAATAAGGTTTGCAGGTGGGACTGAATGAACCTGAACTCAAGACAGCAGGCCAGCAAAGAGGAGGAGTGAAGGCAGCTTCTTGTGGCAACCAAGGACTCACATAGGACAGACCTGGATATCTCACCCAGGAAACAAACCTGGAAGGAGGAAGACAGCGGTTCTGTTGAGGGTCTAGAATGAGGGTCTAGAATGAGTTTCACTGGTTTAAATTGGGGTTCATTTGAAGCCTATTTTTTTTAGTGACCACATTGGCATCCTTGAGTTTCTGTTCATGCTTTGGGCGCAGGTCCAGCTCTGTGCAGCTATGGAAAGTCGCATGTTAGATCTTGCACATGAGCAACTGTTCATCCATTTTGTTACCCTTACCCTTACATGGCTGGTTGCTTCTGTAAACCTGTTTATTCTTCCCATGAGAAAATAGCTTGTGCTAGCCATGCAGAAAACCGCATCGGGGCAACATCCTGTACCTGTTACTGTCTTTGCTAACTAGCCTGAAACCCTTTTGTTTAGCTGTTCCTTAACAATGTAACTATCAATCATCAGACCCCTGCCCAGAGCCATGGAGACCATTAAACGAAGGTCTAGAGGATGCCCTCAGAAATAATTAACCTGCTTGATTCAGCTTCTGTAATTGCTTGCATTAAAACCCCTGGTAACTGACCCCCATAGAAAGACTGCTCAAACTTCCGTAGGGGCTGCAGTTCTGACTCTCAGCCCCCAAGCCTCAGGCTATAGTTGCTGGCCAGCTAAGACTCCTTTTAACCTTAATCTGACTTTGGTGGTCGTTCATTCAGCTGCACTCTACAACATCTGAAGGCCCCAGCGAGATCTGGGAACCTTAGATGGTTCCCAGAATAATGCCCCAACAAGGACATTTCTCACACCCTGTCCCTGGTCTCAAGAGGGGTAAGGAAGCCTCATAAACATGGATCAGAAATTGGAGTGGGACCAGCAGTTAGCGTAATGGCTATGTCACTGGATTCCCATGTAGTTGACCGCGGTTCAAGTCCCGGACCCGGTGGCTTAAACTCATGCCGGGCGCTTGTGTGTGCATGCCCAGGATCCCAAGAGGAGAATGGAGGGAGGGGATTGTGGCGTGGGCATCCCCTCTGGGGGGTGATTTCTCGCTTTCTGTCTCTTTTCTCTTTCCCCCCCTGTCCCCCCCTGTCCCTCCCTGGTCAAAAAAAAAAAAAAAACTCTCAAAAAAAATAAAAAAGAAATTGGAGTCACTTGGGGGACCACCAGTTAGCATAATGGCTATGTCACTGGACTCCCATGTAGTCTACCGCAGTTTGAGTCTCGGACCCGGTGGCTTAAACTCATGCCAGGCATGTGTGCATGCATGTCCAAGATCCCAAGAGGAGAATGGAGGAGAAAGGATTGCAGCGTAGCCATCTCCCTGGAGGGTGATTTCTCACTTTCTGTCTCTCTGTCTCTCTGTCTTTCTGGCAAGCGCACGCACTCTATAGCAAAAATCTCTCAAAAAAAAAAAAAACTCTCAAAAAAAATAAAAAAGAAATTGGAGTCACTTGTGGCACCTGAATCTGGTAAGATTCTAGTTATTTTGGTTTGAAAGCTCTCCTGGCGGGACTTATTTTATTTTATTTTATTTTATTTATTTATTTTGAGAGGTTTTTGCTATAGGGTGCATGTGCTTGCCAGAAAGACAGAGAGACAGAGAGACAGAAAGCGAGAAATCGTCCCCCCAGGGGAGATGGCCATACCACAATCCCGTCTCCTCCATTCTCCTCTCGGGATCTTGAGCAAACACACACACACGCCTGGCGTGAGTTTAAGCCGCTGGGCCTGGGACTCAAACCATGGTCAACTACATGGGAGTCCAGCGACATAGCCATTATGCTAACTGCTGGTCCCTTGGTGGGACTTTAGCAGGGCTGGATGCAGTGGAACCTCTAGGTCCTAGGGCCAACTGTGACGGCACTTCGAGTCCTTGGTCACTTGGGCCCTTGGTGACAGTGATCTCTGGGTGCACTGTTTTGCTTTGTTTTGTCTTTGTCATTCTTATCTTCGTCAAAATGGGATAGGGCCAGTCATCAACCTGCTTGTCTATGTGTTGTGTGTAGCATTTTACCTAGTGGACATCTAACAGGGAAACAAATTCATAACTAGCTTTTACTGTTGTTAGTTTTAGTGCTAACAGAGGATCTTTGACCACAAAGTAACTCTTGGATGTTTACAGAGGGTCCCTGAAACATTCAAAAGGGAGACGTTAAATTGATCAGGCTTATTCTTTATATGTTGGATAAAAATGAAAAACATTGTAAAATTAAGTAATTCTAACTTTCTTGTATTTGAGTTATATGTAGAAATATGTTATGTACTTACACATCTATATATGTATTGTATTCCAAAATAATTTGAGATTCCCAGGAACTTATGATGGGATATTTATCAGTCATGTGATAGGTTATTATGTTAGATTGGAATATATAGCCAAATTTCTTTGTCAGTTATGAATTTTTGTCAGAACATGAACTATGCCTATAATCCTAATGTTATGCCTTCAAGGAAATTCACAGAGAGTGGGAAGAGAATGGTACTGGTTTCTAAAAATCGAATCATATAACTGGGTAAAATTTTCATTTTCTGTGTAAACTGATTTTCTAAACTGTTAAGCCAAAATTAACCAAAGAAAAGTAAAAAATGTTTGACAAAATTGCATGTTAAGTAGCCAACCGTACATTTGAGTTAAAAAGGTAAAATTGATATCAAGAAATATAAATCCAATGTTAAACATGGACTCATGGAAACATTGTGGCCTGGTTCTCTCTGAGTCCTCCTTACAATTCTTGTTATTAAGTTAACATGCTTTAGTTATTCCTATTGTTGGTCTTTAAATTTTATAAAATTGGAAGGGTTTGCTAGTAAGATTATTCAGTTTTACACTGAAAAAGTTGTTAAACAAATGTTGCTATTGTTATTTGTTTGTACATGTTCATAAGCTACCAGTCAGTATATGTGGATATATGTAATTCTATTTTTTTTTTGTAATTCTATTTTTGCAAGTTTAATAATTCCTCCAGAAAATATCAAACTTCCCAAGGTGGGATAGAAAAGATAAACATGGACGATTAATAAAGACTGGGCCTATGTATCAGAGACAAAAGCTAAAAACCCCTGTCCAAGTACTTAATAGGGTAGAAGTCTCAGGGAATGGGGTGAGACAAGTTAAGGCAGGAGCTCCTGGCTGCCTCCTCCCTCCCTGCCTTCTTCCTTCTTGTACTCCCCTTTCTCTTTAGTTAGGCCTCTTCCCCACTGGACTCTCCCCTTAGTTAAATGATCAAGAGTACTAGCTAGAAAAACAAAAATTTAGATTAAGACTACATTTTCCAGCTAGGGTTTTTATATAGTGAATAAGACAGATGCTTTGCAAAACCTGTAAACTGGGCTCCACCCTCTTGGCAATAGCTCCTTGCAGGATCGCTTGGAATTTAGTTTCACTTCTCAGTACAGGAGCTCTTGCAATTCAGAACAGATATTCTTTTTAAAAAGTTCTCAGATAACTCAAAAAAATGTTGTAACAAATTGACAAAGCACCATAACCTTTGATTTAACTCTCACTTAAACTGCACCCAGTAGTCACTGGTGGTAATCCTGAAGGCAGGGAATTTCTCTAAGGGCAGGGTCTGGAAACAGCCCAAATCAGAGCCTCTGCCTCAGTAGAAACTCTGTTTCCAATGTGGGCAGCCCAGGTACTAAACAATGCCCATGACTGGCTGGCATCCTCGTTTCCTACTGGGGCCTTGTCCCCAAGTGTGGGATTGGTCACTAGAGACAGAATGCACTGAGCTCTGAAGGGAGCTTGGGACTTCTAAAGTCCATGCTGGCCTGTGAAAGTGAGGATTGATAGGGCCCAAGACTCCTATGCTCCCCTTGGACATCTGACAATCTCACTGGATAAGCCTCAGGTAATCCTTAAAGTGATTAAGATTAATTTCTGCCTAAATCAGAAGTAAGGTTATTTCTGAAAGTACAGTCTTCAAAAATGAAGAAAATAGTAAAAAAGTTGCCTGTGTAATAAGAAAAATTATGAGACCTAGCCAGAGGGGAGACATCTGTACCAGCAACTAAAAGTTCTTGTAGCCACCCCGGACTCTGTCCTCCCATCCTCGCCCTCCTACACTCAGGAGGAGGGAAAATTGGCCCACAAGCAGTAGGCTACAGGAGGACCTGAAGGATAGTTGCTGTTACCAGATGGCAGGCCAATCAATAGTCCCAAGGCCCTTGGACACGTCATCATAAATCAGATACACCAGATTACCCAACTGGGAAAAACAAAGCTTGCTGAACTGGTTAGAGGAAAATACGCTTAATCTAGATAGCCTTATGTACTCCATACTGGGAGGAATATTTTCCTTATGAAATTATGTTTGGAAGACCTTAACCTCTCCTCCTGAGATTGAGAGAGAATATAAAAGCTGAAATCCATAACTATACTTTACTCAAGCTTTTACAGGCCCTCGACTCAACCCAGAAGGCCATTCACCACCATGTTCGAGATGCTTTGCCTGTCCCCACCTCGGATCTGTCCATCCATTCCAACCAGGAGACTCAATGTGAGTCAAGAAATTTACAACCCAGGGACTGACTCCAACCTGGAAGGGACCCTACACTGTCATCCTCATCATTTTGACCACTGTCAAGGTCAATGCCATCCCGATCAGCTGCACCACTCTCAAATAAAGGCAGAGAAATCAACATAGCAGATCCAGGTTTGCAAGGATCCTCTCAAGCTAAGACTGTCCCATGTGTCCTGATTATCTTCCTCGTTACCCACTTTAAAAAAAGCTCCAACCTGGAAGGGACCCTACACTGTCATCCTCATCATTTTGACCACTGTCAAGGTCAATGCCATCCCGATCAGCTGCACCACTCTCAAATAAAGGCAGAGAAATCAACATAGCAGATCCAGGTTTGCAAGGATCCTCTCAAGCTAAGACTGTCCCATGTGTCCTGATTATCTTCCTCGTTACCCACTTTAAAAAAAGAGCAGAGGGGGACCAGCAGTTAGCGTAATGGCTATGTCGCTGGACTTCCATGTAGTCAACCTCAGTTCGCGCCCTGGACCCAGTGGCTTAAAACTCACGCCAGGTGCGTGTGTGTGCGTGCCCAAGATCCTGAGAGGAGAATGGAGGAGAAGGGAGTGTGGCGTGGCCATCCCCCCTGGGGGGGTGATTTTTCGTTTTCTGTCTGTCTCTCTCTCTCTGTCTGTCTGGCGAGCGCACGTGCCCTATAGCAAAAACCTCTAAAAAAAAAGAGCAGAGGGAACTGACTGGTCATGGGGAATCTGAAACAGGGAAGAGAACTAAGTACAATGAACCTCTCCTGGAGCATGAGGAGAGCCACTCCTCTGAGGGTAATTGGTATCAGTCTCTTTTCTTGGTCCCCCTGGCTCACCACCCTCACCTCTGGCATTGCGGATCCTGTCCTGCTCCTCTTCCTGGCCCTTTTCTTTGGCCCTTGCATCCTCTGTTTTCTCATTACCTTTGTTCAGGACCAGATCCAATCTGTCATGCTCATAGTTTGCACCCTCTCTGGCTTCACTTTCCTTATCAAAATAATGATGTGTTCACAGGAAGCCCTGGCCCAAGTTCTAGCAAGCTTGGACCCTTTCTTTAGGTAACCAGTTGAACACTGGAACCACAGGAGTAGACTTAGGTCCCACTTTGAGGGGAAGTCAGAGTATGTAAGATGGATCCTGATAATGTTGGAGACATAAGTGAGGGAACCATGATTCCAGAAGATGGTTTGTCTCCCCCCCATTGAAAGCTTACTCACAGAATGCCAGAAATTTCTCGCCATAGATCTCCTTCACGTCAGAGTTTTCTGTTCCCACAGTTGCTTGAAGCTGAGGACAAATACCTCACTACTGGTCACATGGGTCTTGAAGTAACCAGACTCAAAAATAGCCACCTTCACGCCAAAGTAGGAGAGTTCCCTCCTGTAAGGCAGGGAGGCAAGGGCTACAGAGACCTTGGAGGAAAACACCAATGATTAAAACATAAAGTATCTATCAATACTACACTGTAGGACAGTGATAGGATAATCTCAAATCCTGAGAATTGTAATGAGTATTCTGAAGGGTTAAAAATTATGAAGATGGGGGCCAGCAGGTGGCGTGGTGGTTGGGGTGCTGGACATTCCCACGTGGCCAACCACGGTTCAAGTCCCGGACCTGGTGGCTTGTTTTCCCACTTTCTCTCTCTCTCTCTGAGTCTCTCTTTGGTCAAATTAAAATAAATGAATGAATAAATAAATTAAACAAATAATTTTTAAAAATTATGAAAACAACATTTTCTCAGTATAATGTTTGAATTTTGACCAAAATATTTGACACACATGAGCTGACTAGTTGTAAATCCTCCCTATTTTTATTTATTTATTTATTTATTTTAGGTTCTTACCATAGGGTCTATACACATGCTGGCTATAGAGAGGGAAAATGAGAAATCAATTCAGGGGAATAGCCATGCTGCAATCTCTTCTCCTCCATTCGCTTCTCAGGATTTTGGGCTCAAGCATATGCACTTTGAGAGGTATTCAAGACTTAATATTCAAGTCTGGGAAACAGCCCATAGTCGGCCATGAGGGACTCCAGTGTCTCAACTACCATTCCACCTACTGGCCCCTTAAATCCTCTCTATTCTTCTGGAAAGAATCTAGAAAGTGCTACCTACTCTTATTGTCCTCATATCCAGTTGCTCACCAGGGCTTGACATTTTATCTCTTCCATATTTCTCAGTCCACTTCATCCCTCTTCTGTCCTAGTACTCTGGCCACCTCTCAGCTGGTCCGTTGTAGCTCCCTGTAAAGGAGTATTTTCTTGCCATCAGTCCCAAGATCCCTTATCAGTCATCCTCTGTTCTTTTATATATATATATATATATTGTGAGGTTTTTGCTATAGGGCACATGTGCTGCCCAGAAATACAGAGAGAGACAGAGAGGCAAAAAGCGAGAAATCACCCCCTGGGGGGATGTAGCCACATCATGTGAGTTTAAGCCACTGGGTCCGGGACTCGAGTCGCGGTTGAGTACGTGGGAGTCCAGCGACATAGCCATTACACAAACTTCTAGTCCCAGCCATCCTCTGTTCTGCAGCCAGTGTAATCTCTAGCTCCTGATTTGACCAAGTAGCCCCCTGAATAGTTCCCTTCCATTTGGTTTTACCACCTGTAACATGAAGTTCCAGGGCCCACAGTCCTCCCACAAGCCCACTTATGCCACCTGATCACCTTCCCTCCTGCCAAGCTCAGCTTTATCCTCTCACATCAGGAAGACCTTGCAACACAGACAGACAGCTAATGCTCACACTGGCTTGGCTCTCATCATTCCCTCATATGAGAGCCTTTCCTGCCCTTCCCCACCAGGCTGCCAGGGTCAGGCCTTCAGTTCATAGCTCAGACCTCACATGTAAATACTCCCAAATATGTTGGCTACCGTGGCTGTCAGAGATAATTTGATCAACCCATCAAAAGACTAAGTAACAGTGAGTTTGTATCCCTTATTCCTCTTCCTATCAGCTGACTGAGTTTTTAGTTCAGGAACCATTTATTAGAGTCCAAAGACACAGTCATTGGCCACTCACATAGGGTCCCTGTAAGTATCTGCTGAAATGAGTCAGAAGTTTTACTCACACCTCCAGGGCTTTCTGAAGCTGAATATCATAGTGCTTATGTACATTGGTTTTGGATCCACATGATCCAGGCCCAGTCTCCCTTAGACACTCTAAACATGGCCTCCCCTGCAGGGTCCTCCCTCATACAAGGAGCACCTTCTACACCCAACACCTGGAAATGTGCTCCCAATCAGGATGTATAAAATCAGGAGGAGGGTGGCATGGCAATCAGAAAGCAAAAGAGAGAGGAATGTCCATGGAAGGGCCTTAAGACTCTGATTTAAAGAATGCCCTGAAAGACTTACTGGGGAAAACAGGAACAAGAGGGCTGAGGGAGGGTCTGTCCCAGGTCAGTACCTGAGGGAGTCTACACCCTACTTGGAGATGAAATATCTCCCACCATATAGTGACAGCCAGTCCATGACGCTAGAGACATTGACCACACGACCCCTCACCTTCCTCACTAAGGGAACCAGACTCAGAGTCACCTCGATTACCCCACCAGGTTCACATTGAGGATGGTCACAAAGTCCTCTTTGGTAGTCACTCATTGGGTGCTATGGGCACAGAGATGCCAGCATTGTTCATCAGGCTCCAGAGTCCTAGGGACAGAGGAAAATGAGTCACACTGAATTGTGTCTGTGCAGTGTGGACACAGTTACAGTTCAAACTCATATCCCACTAGACCGAGTGCATTAGGATAAGTGTGGATGGGCAACGAGGGTAGAACAGAACAGCATGGAGTCTCCTAGGGGTGCAGATTCTGTAACCTGATGGACAACAGCTCTGCCTTCCTTCCTCCACAGGTCTTGGCCCAGCTCACTGCTGTATCCCTTATTTCTCTTCCTCTCAGGTGACTGAGTTTTTAGTTCAGGAACAAGTCTTATGCACCTAACTCCTTAGTTGATGATGGTGGGCGCTGATGCTGAAGGAATACTGTGCAGCAGCAGTCTAGAAACATGGCCGCTGGTGTCTGCTTGTGCACATTAATGTGGTTCAGGCAGACATTATGCACACTCACCTACAGTTCAGCTTTTCTAGAGAATAAGTATAGTGCGTGCTCTACAGCTCTCCACCGAGGGAAAGCAACAGAGAGAGACAGAGAATGAGGACGAGAAGGAACAGAGGGAGACAAAAGGTAAAATAAAAAAAAGACGAGGCTAATATCTGGTGGAGCTAGGTTGACCACAACCTATAATACACATTTGGGCAGAATGTGGACAGCCGTTCTATGTTTGATCACACAGTTCTTGAAACATCCTGTATCGATACTGAATAATGCTCCTGCTGAGGACTTGGAGGGGATGTTGGGTTGGATTTTGGAGGAGGCAAAGCAGCTAGCTCATCCCATGCCCCAGTACACAGACTGCAGCTTCTGTCCTGAAAATGTCCCCTGGTCTTCTCACTAGCCCAGAAACCACCCTCCACCAACTTCTCAGTCTCAAATTCACCAAGCTTTCAGTTAACTTATCATAAACATTCAAACCCAATCCCTGGGATGTAAAGTAGAGTTCCTGAGGTACAGATCCAAGGAAAACAGGAGTAGGGGACCCACAGAGTTGGAGTGTGGAGAGACTGCTGTTAATCTGGAAGAACTGGTCCAGGAAGAAAAGGCTCTTCCCTGCTCAAAAACATGCCCTGTCCTATGGGAATGCACATTCTTTCAGTAAGGTATTTTATTTGTAAGAATCCAATCAACATGCATGATTATGAGATTCAGATAAACAAAACTTTATTAACATCATTGTCAGAAATAATGTCATGAGACTTGGTTAGGTATGTTTAAATATGTTGTGTGTATCAAGAATTGAATATTCTAAACTATTAGATACTTATAAAAATTTCATTATGGGGCTAGCTAGTAGCATGATGATTAAGGTGGCTGGATCCCACATGGCTTAGGATGTATCTGAGCCTTGGAACTGGCAGTTTGAAAAACATGCTGGGTATGCATGTGTACATGTCCTAAAATTCCAAGAGAATGGAGGAGAAGGGAACATGGCATGGCCTTCTCCTCCTTTGCTGTGCTCTTTCATTTTCTCTCTCTATCCCTAGGTAGCATTCTTGCTATATAGGAGATA